TGGTCCACACAATGTTATGTGGACCATAACAAAAAGTACATTTCTAATATACTAAATGTACATTATACAATATAATGTACACTCAGAACAAAAATAATGTATATCCCCTGTATACAATATACATTATTTTTGTACTGAATGTACATTATTTTTGTACTGAATGTACATTATTTTATAATAGACAAAATATGGTCTACACAACTTGTGTGGACCATGGTCCATACAATAATGATTGCAGAAATTTGGGGTTCTCTTGGGAGCGCAAATTATGCCCTGGATCCGTGTCTACAATGCATTGTGGACACGAGTTCAAAATGATGTCGTTTTTAGGGAAAACGTGTCATTTCAGTTAAAAAAAAATTGATTTTGTCTCGCCGTTAACAGCGTTATTCGTTTGTGCTATTATGAATGTACAGTTATGGAATTATGAATGTACAGTTATGGAATTGTGAATGTAAATTATAAAATTATGAACACAAAGCTCTGACATTATGAACTTACAATTATTAATATATAGTGATAAAATTATGAACGTAGAGCTCTAAAATTGTGAACATGGAGCTTCAAAAATTATGAATTTACAGTTACGGAATTATGAATGTACAGTTACGGAATTATGAATGTACAGTTATGCAATTATGAATGTACAATTATGAAATTATGAATGTACATTTATGGAATTATGAACACAGAGCTTTGACATTATGAACTTACAATATGAACATATAGTGATAAAATTATGAACATAGAGCTCTAAAATTGTGAACATAGAGTTTCGAAAATTATGAATTTACAGTTATTGAATTATGAATATACAGTTACGGAATTATGAATGTACAGTTATGCAATTATGAATGTACAGTTATGCAATTATGAACACAGAGCTCTGACGTTATGAACTTACAATTATGAACATATAGTGATAAAATTATGAACATATACTCCTATAATAAAGTGATATGAAATTAAAAAAAAAAAAAAAGTGGAAGAGAACGGTGCCACTAACGGCACCGCATGCTGGACACGGGTCCATAGCATAACGATTGTCTTGGGAGAATCTCTCTTGTTGGATGCTACCATCTTTTTTCCCCTAATATTTATTTATTTATTTTTATCTTTAATTTTTGGAAGAAAACAACTATAATCAACTATGACATATTGCCAATGATAACTTTAATTGTTGGCTAAACCTGACCATATAACCTGAAAGGGTTGCTGTTTATTAAGATCGATTTGTATGAAGTATTCAATTTTAGAAAAAATGTGCAAATAAGCATTCTAAGTCGAAGGATAGTGCCAGCTGTCTGGAAGGGATCAATGATGCAGCCTACCCAGTTGGTCAGAGCAGCCACCGTAACACTGCAGGCGTACAGCACTGCTCATGTTGGCCGAACCAACCCGACACCGGCGACGGACCACGTGAATGGTCCAGGAGGGGGTGGTCTACGATGTTATGTGGACGCGGGTTTCCGGCACGACACGGGCGAGGCTACTTACGGTATGGTAATTATAGCGCCAGATGGCTCGTTTGTGGCAGCAAGGAATGGCAAGTTACCAGTTTGTTTTTCACCACTTATGGCGGAGGCTCAGGCATACAAGGAGGCTTTGTCCTGGCTACTTGAACGGGACACCACATCAGTAAGTTTACTCACGGATTGCATGGAATTGGCAGCGATATTCAGGCACCATCATACGCCGATACATTCGTACGTTGGGGTCACAGTTGACCAGTGCAGGACGTTTATGTCGTTTTTTAATCGTATTACTTTGGATTATATTTCTAGGCAGGTTAATTTACATGCGCATACTTTAGCTACGTTAGCATTTACTCAGGATCAAGCTATGTACTGGGATGCTATCCCACCTGACACTATTTCGGCTTTGATTCATTAATACAATCGCAAGATTGACCTTCAAAAAAAAAAAAAAAAAAAAAAAAAAAAAAAAAAAAAAAAAAGTCGAAGGATAGTGCCATTGAGCCTCATAAATAAAAAACAAAAAAAAAAAAAACATTTAAACTCCTTGAATTTCAAAAATATTCAAGGAATAAGGGTCAAATATGCCACTTAACTGCACACCAACATACAATTAGGTTATTCAATTCAAAAATGATGCAATTGGATCCTTGAACAACACAAACATATGCAATTTGACCCAAAATTTACTTGTTTACCTGAATAGGAGGTTACTAATTTAAAAATAATTTTTTAACAATAATTTTTAATTAAAATAAATATTTAAAATAAAAAAAATAAAAAACCGCTGATGACGAAGAAGTCTTCGTCTCCGGCGGGTCCCTTTGTCTCTTGGCCGGAGACGAAGTTACCTTCGTCGTCTCCGGCCATGGAGACGAAGGGACCTTCGTCCCCAGGCCATGGAGGCGAAGGTCTCTTCGTCTCCATGGCCGGAGACGAAGGTACCCCATAGCCGACTATGAAGGTACCTTCGTCTCCGACGAAGGTCCCTTCGTCTCCATGGCCGGAGACGACGAAGGTAACTTCGTCTCCGGCCAGGAGACGAAGACTTCTTTGTCTCTGGCGCTTTTTATTATTATTTTTTTTAATTTTAAATATTTATTTTAATTAAAATTATTGTAAAAAATTATTTTTAAATTTAGTAACCTCCTATTTAGGTGAATAAGTAATTTGATACGAGTATATCCACACTGGAAGAAGGTGAAAATCAAGAATTGAGAGAAAGAAAAGAAACAACCCAAGCTACTAGGTCAAGGAGAGAACGAAGGAAACCGGCATGGATGGCTGATTACATTTGTTAGACTAATTTTATTCGTAATATGATACATTAGTTTAGTCCTAATACGTTATTATATCATATTAATTAGGAATCATAGTCCTAAGCATAATGGGAGTAACTTAGTATATAATCACCCTGCATGCTAGGGGGAAAGACATGCGAATTATTATTATCTTTTTCTTCTCTGCTATCATCTTCCTTCTCTGAAATCTCTCTCCCTCTCTCTCTCATTTTCCCCTCCCCTAATTCCATCTTTGGAGTCTGCATCCACTCAAAGTGGTGCTGCCTTGATACGGGTTCATATCAATTGGTGCTTTCATTGCATCGAACTCATCTTTCTTGTTCTTTTACACACTCAAAGCTGTAATCCTACTTCATTATGTCAGACAACCAATCTACATTAACAAGTCATCCTTGGGAGCAGGCAATTGCCGAATTGCAAGAAAATTTTGATAGACAAACTGTTACAAATCACCAACTCATTCAACAGCTCATTACTCCGTGTCACGGTTGGAAACGATGGTAACAACAAATAAAAATGCAGTAGTGCAACCTCAAACACATGGAATTTTAGGATCTCCACCTGATAATCATCTACAACCATCTTTGCAACCGGAGAGTGGCCAAGGAACTAAACGATTTCATATGAAACTTGAGTTACCTCGCTTTGATAGCTCAGATCCTCATGGTTGGATATTTAGAATTCAAGAATATTTTGATTTTTATGATACACCCGACACACAGTGATTGCGAATAGCAGGATTCACACGGAAGGGAATGCTTCTGGGTGGTATCAATGGATGAAAAGGAATGAAATGTTAACTTCATGGAAGGAATTTTTACAGAACGTCACAAAGCGGTTCAGCGAGTCTTGTTTTGAGGATTCCCAAGGAAAATTGTCAAAATTGACACAGCAAACCACAGTCACTGCCTATCAAGCGGAATTTGAACAATTAATGAATAAAGTTACAGGGATTGCAGAACATATCCTTATTTCCATGTTCATCGCAGGGTTTAAACCACTTATTCGACGAGAAGTGCAGATGGAACGACCAACAACATTGATGGAAGCTTTTGATCTTGCTCGAGAATATGAAGCAAAATTAGAAGAAATTCAAGCTGAGCTCCAACATGCACGAGCACCCTTAAGGTGGCAACAACGCCAAATACCATCTGCAAACGCTACACGGTCAGCCTCGAGTATAACACAATCATCAAACCAAGACAAAAGGGAGACAACAACCTTAGCTTTACCACCCTCAACGCAATCAACACAAAATTTCCCCATTAAACGATTAACACCTGCAGAAATGTGGGAAAAACGAGAAAAAGGTATTTGCTACAACTGTGATCAACGTTGGTCAACTAATCATAAGTGTCGAACCAGATTTCTAATGTTAATGGGGACAGAAGAGGATGATATAGAAGATCTAATCTTAGAAGAAGAAACCATAGTGCATGGGCAAGATGACATAATCACAGGAGATATTTCCAGTCTAAACTCATTGGCAGGCCTGGGTAATCCCAGACCGCTTAAAATTTTGGGAGAAGTTAATGGCCGAAAGTTACAGATTTTAATACATAGTGGCAACACCCATAACTTTGTGCAACCCAAAATTGCTGAGCAATTACAGTTACATACTTTGAAGGTCACACCATTTCGGGTATACGTTGGTAACGGAGATTCTCTAGCTTGTACCCGCAGCTGCAAACAAGTATCATTGACACTATAAGGCACTGAATTCTTGGTAGACTTCTTTGTACTTCCAATTCAAGGCCCAGACATGGTATTGGGAATTCAATGGTTACCGGGACTTGGAAAAGTTGAGCATGACTATGCTAATGTGTCCATGGAGTTTGAATGGAAAGGCCACCAGATTAAATTGCAAGGAAATCATTCATTGACACCACAAGAAATAACTCTGAATCAATTAGAAGCTCCAGTAGTAACAAGGGAAATACTGGAACTCTATGAGTTACTCTTAATACGTGGTCCTGAATCCCCGCTAGAAGAAAATAATATTGAAAAATCTATAGAAGCGGTACAATTCCCTACAGATATACCAACAGAAATTATAACAGTACTTCAACAACATGAGAAACTATTCCAAGCACCTGCTACGCTACCCCTACATAGATTTTTCAATCACAGGATTCATTTAAATCCGGGAACCAAGCCAATCAATGTTCGCCCATATCGCTACCCACACTTCCAAAAAGAAGAAATTGAGAAGCTTGTTACATAAATGCTAGATCAAGGAGTTATCCGACCTAGTCAAAGCCCTTTCTCATCACCAGTCCTACTCGTAAAAAAGAAAGATGGGACCTACAGGTTCTGTGTAGATTATAGAGCCTTGGACGTTGCAACAGTACGTGACCAATTTCCTATTCCTACTGCAGATGAGCTCTTTGATGAATTAGGTCAAGCAATGGTGTTTACAAAATTAGATCTTAGAGCAGGCTATCATCAAATAAGGATGCATGACCGGGACATATATAAAACCGCCTTTCGAACTCACGAAGGACATTATGAGTTTCTTGTCATTCCTTTCGGGTTAATGAATGCCCCGTCTACCTTCCAAGTAACTATGAACCGCATGCTCCGCCAATTCTTAAAAAAATTTGTAATCGTGTTCTTTGGTGACATCTTGGTTTATAGCCAAACACTGGAGGATCATATTTACCACCTACAAGAAGTGCTTGGCACATTAAAACAATATGCATTCTACTTAAAGTTGAGCAAGTGCAGATTTTGTCAAACTTCTATCGAATATCTTGGTCACATAATAGATCATGAAGGTGTGTATGCAGATCATAACAAAATCGACGTAATGATAAACTGGCCAACACCAAAAACCATCCGACAATTAAGGGGATTCCTGGGACTAACAGGATATTACCGCTGTTTCATAAACCAACATCGCAGCCCCGCTAACTGACTTATTTAAAAAGGATGCATTCCAATGGGGACAGAAGGCAGAGGAAGCATTTACAGCCCTTAAAACTATAATGACAAAGACTCCAGTTTTAAGACTCCCTAATTTTAGCAAGCCTTTCATTGTAGAAATAGATGCATCTAATGAAGGCATTGGAGCAATTTTTGTGCAGGACGACAGACCAATTGCTTTTTTTAGCAAAAAGTTGGGATCGCGCTTAAGAAACTCATCAACATATAACAGGGAGCTTTTTGCCATTGTAGAAGCGGTACAAAAATGGAGACAGTACCTACTTGGGAGATTTTTCACCATCCGCACAGACCATAAGAGCTTAAAGGAGTTGTTACAACAAGTAGTGCAAACCCCAACTCAACAACACTATGTTAGAAAATTAATGGGGTATAATTTCAAAATAGAGTACAAACCTGGTAGTAATAATAAAGTAGTAGATGGTCTTTCAAGGAGAGAAGAAGAGGCAACTCCGAACACATCGTATGGGGAAGTATTCCTCACAGTAAGTAAACCAATCCCAGAACTTCTAGAGACCATACAAAAGGAAAATAATTCAGAACCTAACATACTACAACTTCACCAAAAAAATACAGAAGGGAGACTACCTAATCATTATGAAATCAAAGAGGCCTAGGGCTTAGCTTTCTATAAAGGTCGATACTGCATCGGAGCAAACTCTAAGATGAAATCTCACATACTACAAGAGTTCTTCAACCCCAATGGCAGGTCACACAGGGGTAACCCGCACACTGGTACGACTTGCAGCTAATTTTCATTGGACAAACATGAGGGAAGATGTGAAAAAGTTCATTGCAGCCTGCCAAGTATGCCAACAAACCAAATATTCAACACAACCCCCTGCAGGACTACTCCAACCACTCCCGGTTCCTTCGAGAGTTTGGGAAGATGTAACCATGGACTTCATAACAGGATTACCGACATCATGAGGACAAGGAACCATCATGGTAGTTGTGGATAGACTTACTAAATATGTGCACTTTGGAACATTACCACACCAATTCAGTGCACAGAAAGCAGCTAATGTATTTATAGAAATAGTGGAAAAACATCACGGTTTCCCTGCAACAATCGTCTCAGATCGAGACCCAATTTCCTAAGCAAATTTTGTGATGAACTATTCACACTAAGTGGCACAACACTGAAGAGAAGCACATCATACCATCCACAGATCGATGGGCAGACAGAAGTAATGAATCGAGGCTTAGAGCAATACTTAAGGGCTTTTACTCACGTCAAACCAACCAATTGGACGTCATACTTGGGATGGGCAGAATTTTGCGCCAATACAAGCTACCACAGTAGCATTAAAATGACTCCATTTCAAGCACTATATGGAAGACCACCACCCACCTTAGCACCGTATACAAAAGACACAACAGTGCAAGCACTAGATGAATTATTATTGGATCGTGACAGATTGATAAGGCAACTGAAACACAATCTTCGGGAAGCTCAGCATCGCAAGGCCCAAAAAGCCAATGCCAAAAGAAGCGAAGTGAAATTTTCAGTAGGAGATAAGGTCTGGCTTCGTCTACAACCATATAGACAGATATCAGTAGCACGTAGAAGCTCTAACAAACTAGCACGACGTTATTATGGTCCATTCAATATCTTGGAAAAAATAGGGGAAGTTGCATACCGCCTCGAGCTACCACCATAAGCAAGAACCCATTCAGTATTCCATGTCTCACAACTCAAGAAACACATAGGAACTGAAGAAAATATAGAGGTCCAATTACCGAAAGAAATTATGGGCCAATCACCAATTTCAACTCCACTAGCACTCTATGGGGAACGAAATATTCTAAAAAAAATGGAAAAATACAACTCCAAGTCTTGGTGCAATGGTCAGATAGTAGTCCAGAAAACGCCACTTGGGAAGTTGCCAATGAAATGGAACGATGGTACCCGAATCTCCACCTTGAGGACAAGGTGGTCGTCGAAGGGAAGGGGAGTGATACGAGTATATCCACAGTGGAAGAAGGTGAAAATCAAGAATTGGGAGAAAGAAAAGAAACAACCCAAGCTACTAGGCCAAGGAGAGAACGACGGAAACCGACATGGATGGCTGATTACATTTGTTAGACTAAGTTTATTCGTAATAGGATACATTAGTTTAGTCCTAATACGTTATTATATCATATTAATTAGGAATCATAGTCCTAAGCATAATAGGAGTAACTTAGTATATAATCACCCTGCATGCTAGGGGGAAAGACATGCAAATTATTATTATCTTTTTCTTCTCTGCTATCATCTTCCTTCTCTGAAATCTCTCTCCCTCTCTCTCTCTCTGATTTTCCCCCTCCCCTAATTCCATCTTTGGAGTTTGCATCCACTCAAAGTGGTGCCGGCTTGATACGGGTTCGTATCATAATTTTGGATCAAATTGCATAAGTTTGTGTTGTTCAGGGACCCAATTGCATTCTTTTTGAGTTGGATGGCCTAATTGCATGTTGGTGTGCACTTGAGTGGCCTATTTGACCCTTATTCCAATATTCAAATGAGTTTTAATGCAACCTACTTAATTAGCACAGGCTATTGAAGGAGAAAATTGGTGGTGGTCTCCTTTCACAAACAGCCATGGCTTTCCAATGACAACCATAGTTATCTAAGAAAGATGTGCATGACCGTCCAAAAAATTATTTTTTAGATAGTCATGACTGTTATCCAACTGAACAATCTGAAAGGAAGGTGACATCAATGACTACCGCCTTTGTTTCAAACTCCCTAAAAGGAGACTTTATCTCCCTCTGAAACGAAAGTCACGACTATAGCCGTTGCCCTCACTTTAGATGGTTCATATCTAGACCTCATTTTTAGGTCCACAACTAGACGAAAGCCATGGTTGCCTCAAAAAGCCATAGCTATCTTTTTTTGGACAACTGTGGATGTCATCAGACAACCATGACTGTTCATGAAAGGAGACAACCACGAATTGCATTAAAAAATTCCAAAGTTAAAAAAAAAAATTAAATAAACTATGTATATATATATATATATATATATATATATATATATATATATATATATATATATATATATATATATATATACATATATACATACACACACACACACATACACGTGTCAACCATGTAAAGTTTTAACATGCTAGGAGGTTGTATTAGAACTCAATTGAATATTTCTCTTAGGGGTCAATTTGACTTTTTCCCTTAATCTTATTACTCATTTGTAATTTGATTTTTAGTTAAAAATTAAAATTGATATAGTTATTACTTAGTTGTTACTTTATATATTTGATTATATTTATGGCAAAACATATACATTTTATACATGATTTTTTTTTAAAAAAAAAATATTAACTCTATGTATCTGTTCACAACCTACTAAAGTACAAAAAGTTAATAGCGCATCCACTAAGGTTCGAACCCACAACCCTTCATATAAAAGTTTAATTTGGTACCATTGGACTACAAAATTCTTAATAATGTATACATGAATTTATTCTTTTAATTAATATTATTTTAATTATTATATCAAGATAAACAAAAAATTGTATCATTTTTTTAATCGAAGTAGGGGAAAACACACCCCAAGAACACTAAAATTGGCTCATCTCACTCACACAACGGCTCCAGACACGACCCCATTCATTCTATCGTCTTCAAGCAAACTCATTGATTGATGAAAAGTGTGAAGCAAATGAGTAATGGGGTCGGTAATGTAAATTACTTTGTTTAAGACAATTCTCCTCAAGATTGGTGAAAATTCAATATAATTAATGAATATTGGAACGTTACAGTATGAAAAAAAAAAATCATCAATTGTTCTATTTGGTAATTATTTCCTCATTTCACTTTCATTTCATTTATGTACTCTATAAAATACTTATAAATAATTTATATTTGTAAAAAAAAAAAAAAAAAATCGTTGTTAGTACTTTAAAGTGTTAGTTGATTGGCCAAATAAAATTTAAAAAGTAGGGATTTTGAAATGAAGAGAAGAAAGATAGAAAATGCTTGGAGAGTTCTACTACATGTACTCCTAAATCTTACTCCCTAATGTGGCGGGCTCTAATAGGTTATTTTCTTCATGTGGACTCCTGTAAAAGTGTCTACTAATTTAAGTGTGGGAGTAAAAGTAGAGAGTATGGAATGGGAGTACATGTAGTATTTTCCATGCTTGGATAAAACTACAATAATTGGGCAACCTTAGCCAAGTTGGTCAAGTTGTTGTCTTGGTAACTTCACAAGATTTGAAGTATGACTTCTAGTGAGAGCAACTTATTGGCCTTCTTGATTTGAGCATTCTTTGCCAACTAGGATCAGAAAGCAATACACACTTTCGGGTTTTCCTTGTCACCCAAGAATTACTTAATGCAATACCAAAACGCATTAAAATGTTACTATATTAGCATCATTAGCATTATATAGAGAGTAAGATTCTTTCAAGATAGACAACCCAGCCAACCCTCATGGCCTCCTATCAACACATGTATCTGTTACTTCGATAAGATTTTTGGCAATTACTGCAATCTAAAATTCTAACTCAGAAAAGATTATTACATCAGAAAAAAGTCTCTGGATTTCTTCCTACTTCACAAAAGGTCTTATGGCTACCTCTCTCTTAACCTCGAATAATTACACCTTTATTTGGCACTTTACCATAGCAGCACATTGAACTTGAAGCGTAATTTGCAAATGAACAGTACATATATCCAAGTGGTTATATAAGAGTTTAGTCACAAACATAAGGTAGAAGATGACTACAGATTTGGGTTACCTTTTCATATTGAAATTAGTCAGTCTCGGGCACAGCTTCAATCAATAATGATGGTGTTACAATGTCTTCTCTTCCTCCTCCTTGCTTTCCTCAGTATGCGTTCAGTCTCGTCCTTTGCATCATCTATTGATTGGTTTCCCGGGCCTTTTTCATGAACAGGGAATACTCAGTTTCTTTAATCATTGTAAGATAATGAAAAACAATGGGGAACAAGAAAGGAAATAAGGTTTCCATAATTGGTTTTGTCTTTAATTTCCTATTGTGGCTCCTCTAGAGATTTTTAAAATTTTGCATTTCCACAGATACAGATTAAGAATACAAATTTACTGAAGAAAGTATGCATTTTGATGTCTATAGAGCCAGCAATTCTCTACATGCATCCATGTGCAGGGTTTTCGGTAGAGACTAGAGATGACGAATTCTTATTTTCATATAGTATCTTTTTCGTAGTTTAATAAACATGCAGCAGCGCAGAAGTGCATGAAAGATGCTTCAAAGCTTCACGTGGTTTACTTGAGCATTTTTGTTTACTTAACACAATGATAAATAAACCTTATTAAAAGTACAGGAAAAGAATGTGTACTACCTAATTCCTTTTCAGTAAGCAAGCAGGAGAAACCCCTGTCAATATCCTCATCTGATAGGGTAATTACTCTCTGTGCCTTTTCCTGCAAAGTCCAGCACTTTCTCATGAAAATTTAATTCAGAAATCTTTTGGTGAAACCCAACAATTTTTTTTTTTTCCTCAAAATAATATCATACAATATGCAGCTTAAGTAATTGAAAGAACATTCTTTCTCTTCTTGTATGGTAAAAAGACAGATAAGCATGCACATGTATATATATATATATATATATATATATATA